TTTTTGATCCGGGATGAGTGCTGAATCATTATTCCCCTAATATACGCTTTGAACCCGTCCCAAATTGAGTTTTGGTCCGCGGTATTATTGTTGATCATAAAGTATTCAGTAATTAGTTTTTGGAGTTTTTGAAATATTTCAGCATCATTTAGTATGCTGGTATTCATCCTCCATCCTCTAGCCCTTTCATAGTGAGATCCCAATTGTAGAACCAAGTCTATGGGGGCATGGTCGGTCAACGCTATTGAACCTATACTGCAGTTCCCAACGTTTTCAATGAGAGAGTGCGAGATCAGAAAGTAGTCTATCCTACTGTAAACTGAGTGCCTATTTGAGAAGAAAGTATAGTCTCGCGCTGAAGGGTTTAAAAGTCTCCAGACGTCTGATAAACCAGTATGTTTGCACAGATCTTTGATCGCGTCTAGGGTTTTACTGGTTTTAGGAATTGATTTCCCTGATCTGTCCAGAATGATGTCTAGGACTTGGTTAAAATCTCCAGAAAGAATGATTGGGAAGTCTCCAAAATCTAGGAAGATTCTTTTTAGCTGTAAGAAAAAGTCTGGATCTTCTATATTAGGGGCATATATGTTAGCTATAATGATGTTTTGTCCTGAAATATTGACTAGCAGAACAATTACTCGACCTTCTTTGTCTTTATACTCCTTCTCTACTTGAATTGAGAGATGTTTAGAAAATAGGATGGATACGCCCCGCTTCTTCTGTTGGAAAGTATTATGGTAAGCTTGTCCCACCCATCTATCCTTAATTCTATTGACGTCTTTCTCTAACAGATGGGTTTCTTGTAGCATCATCACATCTACTTTTTTCTGTTTTAGATATTTAATCACTTTGCTTTGTTTATGAGCCCAAACCATTAAGGTTCCATGAGGATATTTTAACTATGGTCCCCATAGTTTATGTCCATTTGTCGATAATAGTAATGGAAGCATCCTTATATCTTGTGATGTACCCGTTGTGTGTATACATATAACTAAGGAGAAAACAAAAAACGACTGGCTCAGAAGGAGGGCCCCAAAACTAAAATAAAAAGTAAATAACTGTGCCTTATTCCTTATGACAAGCATGGAGGACTTCAACGTGAGCTGTCCCGACCAATAGTATATAATAATAATAAAGATCCAAAAAATTCCGCCAGAGCTTTGTTAGCTCAAATGACTCGGATAAGAGGAAAATGAAAAAATAACTAAAGGGTTGTGCTATTTAAACTGTATACCTTAAGAAAATATGTGGGATATAAATACATAGAAGTCCAGATCGTAACTTCACATTCTTCTATGGGAGTCCAAATCGCCATCCATGCAGCTTAGATTGCCTAAATAACAATCCATTTTCACCGTGTGCAAAGTCTCATTGAAATAGCATAAATTTAACCAGTTTAACGGAGTCTAGTTTTAGCGTGTATAATACAGTAAACACTTTGGCCTTAATAAATTGGAAGTTATGATTAGTGATCTCAGAGAGGATATATTGCCAATGATCACCACGGTCTGTTCATTCATTCTCCTTCCTCCGGGGGTTGGTATTTGTCTATCATCTTTTTTGCTGCCGCTGCGTCCTTACCAAGGGAGACCCAAAACACTGCGTGGTGTATTTTAGTCCCTTGGCTCTGCACATACGTCTGACCTCAAAGAATTTATTTCTTTTTTCTTGTACTTCCTTCGTGAAGTCTGGGAAAAATTCTAACTTATTTCCCCTCCACTGAAATGATCCGATCTCTCTGGCTCTAAGTCGTATTTTCTCCTTGTCCGCGAAGCGAAGGAATCTCACCAGGATGTGGCGGGTCCGGCTGACGTGTTTCGCCCATCTTCTTTTAGTGTAGCGGGTACTCTGTGAGCCTCTCAACGACGATTTGATCAGCATTCTGGTCCTGCGGAAGTTGGGAGCGTAGCACATCCATTACACATTCCAGTGCGTTATTCCCCTTCTCCGACCGCTCCGGGATACCCTTGATCCTCAGATTGTTTCTTCTGCTGTAATTTTCTTGATATTGAATTCGATCTTCCAGCAGTGCAACTTTGGACTTCAGCTCAGCCGTGTTGGCAGCGAGCGCTGCGTTTTCATCTTCGAGTTGCGATACTCTGTTTTCGGCTTCCCCAATTCTGCTGTTGAGGCCGACAACATCGGATTTCAGAGAGTCCAGACAGTCTTTAATTGTAGTCACGTCTGCCCCGACTTGTTGTATTTTGTCTTGATGGTTCATGATGCGAATTTCGTTTATAATCGACGGGTCTGTCCCTGTACCAGCTGGAGTCTCCATGCTAGTATTAGCGTTAGCACCGTTAGCTTCGTTAGCTCGTGAGTTCGACATCATCATTTGGTCGATTTTGGGTCCCGGAGTGTTCTTTAGTCTTGAATTTTTTCCTCTATTCATCTGTGCTGCTTAGTTTCCACCGTCTTCACATGTATTAAGCCCTCTGACGGAAAGTAGACATTTAAAATTGGTCGATATCAGCTCTAGCTCTTCAGCATGCGTCTTCCCCTCGCCGCATCGCCACCGGAAGTCCCCTCTGGATCCATCCATTTTCTAACACTCTTGTCCCTAGTGGGGTCAGGAGGTGCTGCTGACGCAAGAGGCAGGGTCACCTAGACAGGTCACCAGTCTGTCGCAGGGCAACACAGAGACAGACAGGAAACACAACCATGCACACACACACTCACACCAAGGGAGAATTTAGAGAGACCAACCTGACAGTCATGTTTGGACTATGGGAGGAAGAGAACCTGAAGAGAACCCCCCCCTGCACAGGGAGAACATGCAAACTCCATGCAGAAAGACCCCAGGCCGGGAATCGAACCCGAACCTTTTTGCTGCAGTTGACTTGCCTACCAGGTGCAGCCCTCCATCCGGATCAACTACAGAAAATAAACATCTTTTTAGACTTCATGAACCACCGTAGCTGAGCGTCATGGCAGCAATGAGCCTTAAGTGTTGCCAACGCTCCTGCGTGTACCGATTATACTGAAATGATTGGGCAGTTTCTGCCGCCAGTCTGCTGTGGGTCAAAGCATTTATCAACCTCGTTCCAAAATTAGAAACATTCCACCACGAAACCTGTGCTGAATGAGCTGCTCTTGCAGTTGTAGTAACAGCACAAAAGCCAGACTTCCATGTTTGATTTCCTTTTCCATCATTTCTATCCATTGGAAGCAACAATCTTCAGCTGCCAGGCTCTCTTTACAAATTATAGTCTGTTTGCAAAAGAGCCCAATGTCAATAAAAACCTCATCAAAAGGAAAAATAAAGTTTACTTTTGGGGCGGACCAACCAGGCCAACCAAAGGACTCTCCTGGTGGGAATAAAGCCTCAGAGACATTTCACTGACTTATGTTTTTAATTGGGATTAAAAGACACAACTGAGCTGACTAATGAAAGTTCTTGTTTGAAAGTACATCTGGGTGAAACCAGAACCATTTCTGAACCTAAAGTCTAGTTCCTCTACGTCTGCTCAGTCGGACTTTTTCTCTGTCAGTTTCTTCTTGCGTTGCATCGACGGTGCCAGTAGAGGAGTGTCTTCGTCGTCATCAGCAGAACCGGGTCGGTTCTTGATGCAGAGGTAGCAGAAGACGCAGCCGACCGCAAGCGGGAAGCCAATCAGGAAGCAGCCGAGCACCGGGGCGTCCCTGAACACCGGCTAGAGAGACAGGCCGTGAGCAGAGGCTCGGACAGGAAGCAGGAAGTGGGTTGATGATGTCACTTACCATTAGTGTCATTCTGGTCTCGTAAAGGAAGCGTCGGACGCGCTGAGTGAAGCAATTTCCTCCCAGAGCCTGAGGAGCATGTGAGAAAGAAATCAAGGACTTCCTGCTGCACTGCACCTCCTCAGAGGAACCTACTGCACCACCCAACTGCCACAAACTACATCTCTCCACCAAAATGCCCCAAACCACCCCAACTGGTGGTTTGGGACACACATCAGTTGGGGTGCCACAAACCACCCCAACTGCCCCAGCACATCGCATCTGGGGCACCACCCAAATGCCCCAATCGATCCCAACTACCCTCAACCACTGCAACTGCCACCTCGCCCCACTATACCTCAACACTGCCGTCCAGCACGCCGTCCAGGAAGTCCAGCAACTGCAGCTCAGTCTCTATAGGCGCTGGCGGCAGGAAGTAGCCATCGTTGGACAGGTTGACCACCATCAAGGAAGGGACAAGGGCCTCTCTGGTGACAGCATGAACAGGTGCTGTTAATGAGCTTAACAACTTCAACAGGTGACGTGGCAAACCTCACCCCATGATGAGTCCATCGATGTACCCGCTGTCCTCCATGAAACCAAAGTAGAACTTCCTGAACACACAGACACAGTCAGCAATACGGTTCCTCTTCCTGTGTGCCTTCCACAATAAAAGCTGACCTGCCATAGGTGTCCTTGTGCTTTGTGGCCACCTTCTCCACCAGATGCTTATACCTAAACAAATAACAGGAAACGCATCACAGCAGGACATTTAATTGATACATGGATGTCCGACAATCATGGCTCACCTTAGGTTTTCTTCACACAGGTGTCTCTCCTCCAGCAGAGCCAGTAAGACCAGTTTACCTTCAGGAGAAAGGTGGAACCACATCACCTAAACCTAAAGACTGATTCTAGAGCTCTTAGCTCATTCCCTGTCCCAGCACTCCTGGTTTCAGTCTGCCTCCTCGTTCTGAGGACACTGACTGCCATTTGGTTCACCAGGGACAGACACTGGGCCAAATTCTGCTTACTGTTGGCAGGCTCTTACTTCAGGACCCAGCGGACCGGCTGGAGATGTTCTCTGGTGTAATCCAGTGCCTCCCCCCCCAAATAGCTCTTCAAGTCCAAACAAAAATCTTGAAATGGGCACTAAAGTCCACCTGCCCAGGGTGCCATGAGAATCCTGTCACCGGTCCATGGAGGGTTCTGTGTGAAAGGTTCTTCACAATAATCCAAACAAGATTGAGCTAAAGCGAGAATAATCATTTCCAGTTCAGGTCAAGAGACAATAGAGTATCTGCCCCAACCTCAGTTTGGAAATATTTCTCAGACGATAAAAGCAAAACCAGAGACATAATTATCCAGAGTAAAGGTTTGGTTCCTAACAACATCAGGAGTTAAACTGGGACTCAGATGTCTAAAATAGATTTAGCTCATAGAAACCTGCAGATCATCTGAAGCATCTGGAAGTCCCAGTGACTTCGCGACCAGGGTTCTGACTCAAGGTCAGCATGTGGACTGGATGGACTGGGTGACCAACACAGAATCGGGTTATAAACAGCAACTCTAGAGTTCGTCCTGAGCTGCAGAACCTTCAATCTACCTGTTTGATGATGACATCATCCTGACACAGGTGTGTTCCTGTTACCTGATTCCCCCATAGCATACAGGGTGTAGCCATCAATCAGAAAGAAGTTGGGGAAGCGTTCTCTTTTGATCCAGGACTTCAGGTCTCCATCCTGTTCCTCTGAAACACAGAAGGTCCACCTGAGTTCTGATCACTGACTCACATCTTAAGGGTTTGGGCATCTAATCAGGCAGCAGTACAAGTTAGAGCCACAGGTTGACCCCCAACATGTCTCACCATCATAAATGAAGTATGTTCCGTCTTTAAAAAGCAGCACAGCTGGTAGAGACGTCAGAGTCACTTCCTGAAACACAGTNTTCTTCTGTTGGAAAGTATTATGGTAAGCTTGTCCCACCCATCTATCCTTAATTCTATTGACGTCTTTCTCCAACAGATGGGTTTCTTGTAGCATCATCACATCTACTTTTTTCTGTTTTAGATATTTAATCACTTTGCTTCGTTTAGTGTATGAGCCCAAACCATTAACGTTCCATGAGGATATTTTAACTATGGTCCCCATAGTTTATGTCCATTTGTCGATAATAGTAATGGGAGCATCCTTATATCTTGTGATGTACCCGTTGTGTGTATACATATAACTAAGGAGAAAACAAAAAACGACTGGCTCAGGAGGAGGGCCCCAAAACTAAAAGAAAAAGTAAATAACTGTGCCTTATTCCTTATGACAAGCATGGAGGACTTCAACGTGAGCTGTCCAGACCAATAGTATATAATAATAATAAAGATCAAAAAAATTCCGCCAGAGCTTTGTTAGCTCAAATGACTCAGATAAGAGGAAAATGAAAAAATAACTAAAGGGTTGTGCTATTTAAACTGTATACCTTAAGAAAATATGTGGGATATAAATGCATAGAAGTCCAGATCGTAACTTCACGTTCTTGTATGGGAGTCCAAATCGCCATCCATGCAGCTTAGATTGCCTAAATAACAATCCATTTTCACCGTGTGCAAAGTCTCATTGAAATAGCATAAATTTAACCAGTTTAACGGAGTCTAGTTTTAGCGTGTATAATACAGTAAACACTTTGGCCTTAATAAACTGGAAGTTATGATTAGTGATCTCAGAGAGGATATATTGCCAATGATCACCACGGTCTGTTCATTCATTCTCCTTCCTCCGGGGGTTGGTATTTGTCTATCATCTTTTTTGCTGCCGCTGCGTCTTCAAAACGGAGGCGTTCCTTACCAAGGGAGACCCAAAACACTGCAGGGTACTGCGTGGTGTATTTCAGTCCCTTGGCTCTGCACATACGTCTGACCTCAAAGAATTTATTTCTTTTTTCTTGTACTTCCTTCGTGAAGTCTGGGAAAAAAATCAAACTTATGTCCCCTCCACTGAAATGATCCGATCTCTCTGGCTCTAAGTCGTATTTTCTCCTTGTCCGCGAAGCGAAGGAATCTCACCAGAATGTGGCGGGGTCCGGCTGACGTGTTTCGCCCATCTTCTTTTAGTGTAGCGGGTACTCTGTGAGCCCTCTCAACGACGATTTGATCAGCATTCTGGTCCTGCGGAAGTAGGGAGCGTAGCACATCCATTACACATTCCAGTGCGTTATTCCCCTTCTTGATATTGAATTCGATCTTCCAGCAGTGCAACTTTGGACTTCAGCTCAGCCGTGTTGGCAGCGAGCGCTGCGTTCTCATCTTCGAGTTGCGATACTCTGTTTTCGGCTTCCCCAATTCTGCTGTTGAGGCCGACAACATCGGATTTCAGAGAGTCCAGACAGTCTTTAATTGTAGTCACGTCTGCCCCGACTTGTTGTATTTTGTCTTGAAGATCTCGGTTCATGATGCGAATTTTGTTTATAATCGACGAGTCTGTCCCTGTACCAGCTGGAGTCTCCATGCTAGTATTAGCGCTAGCACCGTTAGCTTCGTTAGCTCGTGAGTTCAACATCATCATTTGGTCGATTTTGGGTCCCGGAGTGTTCTTTAGTCTTAAATTTTTTCCTCTATTCATCTTGTGCTGCTTAGTTTCCACCGTCTTCACATGTATTAAGCCCTCTGACGGAAAGTAGACATTTAAAATTGGTCGATATCAGCTCTAGCTCTTCAGCATGCGTCTTCCCCACGCCGCATCGCCACCGGAAGTCCACCTCTTGATTCTTGAAGCATTGTCATATGTGTGTGGCGAAAAAAACATATTCTTCTTGTGAATAATCTTATAACCACTCCCAGATTTTTGGGCAGCAAACATTGCTACTTAAACTCCGTTGATGTTATTCCACCAAAACATTGTTTTAAGACACATTCGTATGTCTTAGAGCTTCCAGTTGAACAAACATGAGTTTTTATAGAGCTGGTCTCACCGATGAGCAGCAGATGTTTCTTTCCTCATAGGTTCTATGAAGAAAGGAACAGTTCTTTAGTTTGAAGGAGTGTAGTTCACACACACTTTTTCCATTTCGCTCATGCAAGAGCTACGTAAATCCAATAAAAAAATATAAAAAAAACCACCCAAATAATGTAGTTTGTCCTTTACTGGTAAACTGGTGCATCATGATATAAGTGATAACCTGCTGAAGTGTATTCAGACTATGTCTGTTGTTCAGGGAGCAAGACGTGGCTGCCATTGATGTGAACATGGGATGTCCAAAGGAATACTCCACTAAGGTAAGGTGATTTGTTCTGTTTTTATTCTTTTTGTGATTGTACCACTTGTATAAAAACAGCTGCTAGAGCAGATATCCTTGAGGGTAATCACCTGTCTGTGATTGTGATGCATATTATCTTGCTGCTGCTGCTGCTGCTTTGACCTTTGACCCTCCACTTTGTGTTTTCCTTCAGGGTGGAATGGGAGCTGCTCTGCTATCAAATCCAGACAAGATTGAAGCTGTGAGTACATCCACTAGATTATTTTTTAATTGACAAGGAGCCACTTTGAAATTTGTGGGTTTCAAGAGTTTTCTTGATCCATTCTGTGTTTTTCTTCTTTATTAAAGATCCTTAAAAAGCTTGTGATGGGAGTCTCAGTACCAGTTACGTGTAAAATCCGGATTCTGCCTTCGGTAAGACATCGCATGTCTGTTATCAGGTTACATTTTCTGAGCTGGTGTAGCTTGAGGCTGTTTCTTTTTTAAATATTTAATTTTGTTGTAGTCTACTAACTTCTGAAATATATTTTGACATGTAGATTATGAACGCATGACACTGGAAATATAGGACCTACCAACTACTGCATCAAAGAAGTCTGATCTGATTGCAGCTTTCATTCACTGATATTCTAATGGTAGTAATAATTAGATTCATTGTGCAGCTCTACTTTTCACCATTTTGTTTCCACATTATAATTATGTACCATTTTGAGTTAGTCCATCACTCAAATCCCAGTTATAGAAGTTGAAGTTTTTGACTCAAATGTGACAAATAAAAAAAAGCAGCTTTTAAAATTTTGAAAAATAAAATCTGTACTTTTAGAAGTGATTATAAATGGGGAAAATCATGGAAGTACATTAAAACATGCCATCAAAGGGCTGATATGAGAAATGATACAAAGCAGAAATTAGATGTTAAAATAATTTTGTGACATGGTGAAAATGAAAGATAACAGGGCCTATGTGAAAACAGAATGACTGACAGGTCAGTGTTTCATGTTGGTGGTTAACAGCTGGAGGAGACGGTCAGTCTGGTGCAGCGGATTGAGAAGACCGGGGTCGCTGCTGTTGCTGTTCACGGCAGGTAAGAGGCAACTTTCTTTCTCCATTAGCTAATGGAGAAAGAAATGGAGAAAGAAGAGAAAGAATACTGAGGAGAAACCTCAGTATTCCCAAATTAGTGATAGATGAGAGTCCTCTCT